TTGGTCTCTACAAATGACTTCTATTATCTCTGCTCTGAGGACATTTATAAATAAACTCTTCATTATCATGTTTTATAAAAGAAACTTCATAGGAAAACCAGGAAGATACCTTTCCTCTGTAGCTGGTCCACTCTCTGACTTGGTTGATCCCCACAAAAAGCAGTCAGATTTCTGCACGGACATTCTTGCACAAACATGTGATGCGGACCGTTACTATGTTATCAAATTCAAATCAACATCTCAGTCTTCCCAGCATATGAACAGATCTTCACTATCACGAACATCTGATTTTGGTTTAATATGGATCCTTAGAGCCCAGCTCCTATCTAAAGTCAAGAAATGGGGAAAGAGAGGGTTAACATGTCATGGCTGGAACCAACCCTACACTCTACAGCTGTGAACAATTAGGCTTGTCAGTGTTCCCTTCGCAGAAACTCCTGCTACTTTATCAGGACTAATAAGCAATAGAATTTTGACTTTTTGATAGGTAGGGTTATAAATCTATCATCAAGGCTGGGAGAGGACAAGATGACTTTTTATGTACAAGTAGAATCTTTAACTCTGGACCCCACAAGATACTCAAGCTAGGAATGCCCTATTTGTTCCAAGGCAGGAGTGGGAGGAGATGGAGGAACTAGATCTGGAACAAGAAATTCTTTTCTTTTAACAAATTTCCCCACAATAGAGTAGTTAACAGCAGCACAGGTCAAGACCCTCAAATTTCTCTGATAGGTCAACCATATGATCTTTGCTCATGTGAAATTCTTCCTTTCACATGTCTCAACAATATTTTATTGCTTTCATTGTATTTTGTAAGTTGCTTTTTACACATTTTTAGATATGAAAATGGATACTTGAACTCTTGGAAGAGAGCACAGAAAAGATTAAGACAACCTAAATTGAATTTTGGTGTGTCTTATTACTAATAAAATTCTATGTGTGAGAAAAAAGTTTTCTTAAACCATAAAATATTTTCAGTGAATACCCTTGAATGCCATTTTATTTGTAAAGTCTCCATGTTTAACTGAACAAATAGATAAGTAAAGCTTCTCACTGTACATTCGTTTAACAAAATGCATAGAATTATAACCAAAATTTTGTTTGCAAAATTAATTCCCTTTTAAAAGCCATTAAGTCTCCAGTCGTTTTAATCCATCTTTGGTATGAGTGACCAAGAAAAGAGTTTTAAACTGCTTCAGTATTCATCCAGAAGTATTTACTTTTTCCTCATTGTTGGTCAATATCCCCGTTCTTACAGTGTTCTGTTTGGAGAGATTTTCTGGAATATCTTGGTCTTTTCTGATGTCTCTTTATAGAAACTTACTCTGACACATCTCTGCTCCACTATTATCACCCATCATGATTCCAAAAAGATCTTTCTAGACCATGAATCATTCCTGTTATTTCGTCACTTAACAGCCTCCACATTTTCCCATAGAATTAAAAATAAAATTCAAATGCCTTCTTATGACATACACAGTACTTCATGATTTGGTTCTAACATCATTTCTGTCCCTCTACATTTATAGAGATAGTGATCTCCGTGAGGGCAGGAATTTCGTCTACAATATTTTTTATATCTGTGTCTCAGCATCACCACTAGCACTTAATATTTCTGGATGGATGGATAAATGAATGAATAAATGACCTTGTGTATTTCAGAGCCTCCTTATTTGATGGTGCGCTCATTACAAAGAGTTAATATGATGTTTGCGAAGATAATTATACACTTCTGAATGGGAACCTGGGTAGTATGGTGGATTTGCATATCTATTGTCAATTACATGTTCTATACATAAAATTCCACAAAAAGTGAATTGTGAACAAAATAGAATGTTGCCTATGTCCTCTACATATCCTTTTCCTATGTGTTCTAGGAAAGAAAATCAATCTATTAAGACCATTTGTGTATGTCAGTTAGAGAAAATATAAAATGAAATAAATAACTCAGTTTATGGTGCCCAGATAATGCCACCAGCTGTCAGAGGAAGATGCATCTGGTGGCCAGGAAGAGTTTCATGGAGAGACTGAAAGCTGCTCCGGCATCTGCAAGAAGAGAATGGGTTAGGTGTGAAGGGATGTGCATCTCCCAAAGGGCAAAATCTTGAGCAGCCAGGAGCACTAAAAGCAGAGACGAGAGCAGAAGTAACACAATCCCGACCATTATTCCCTTTATGTTGAGACATTAGTATAATAGGATTACATATTCCTTCTGCCCAACAATTCCACTTTAATTTTATTGCTATTCTAAACTCATTAAAAATACACTCTGGCTCCTCTCTGAGCCACAATGCTAATGAGGTAGCACTATTAACATCAGAGCTTAGTCTGAAGTAATTACTTCTAGCCACATTTTGGCTTCTTCACTGAATGTAGAAAAGTGAAGAAGCGATTCTGGAAGTACTTTAACAAGTTTTAAAACAGATGCTTTCATTTGGATCACTGACTCTAGGAATCATCAACCACTTGGGAACAGTCATCCATAAAAATAATTATTTCTGTTCAAAATGAATGACTAGAATCAGTTTCCTAGTTGCCAGAATTTTATCATTAACACTATTTGATGACACTCTCTCTTAGTGTGTTTTTGGTAAACTTTAGTTCCTGTACTCTGGTTTCTCATTCTACAAAGTTGATCTCTTTCTTTCCTTCTCTGTTTCTTTTTCTTTTTTTAAGTTGATGGGTTTTATTGTTGTTGTTGCTCTTGTTGTTTTGTTTTCTGAATTGTGACAAAAAAGAAAAGAGTGAGGAAATCAACCCTAAAGGATACAGTTAATTTATGGTTTGTAATGTGGGGAAGGAGAAGGAGCAATGATAAGAGAAAAAAAGTGAACATGCTTATTTGTGGAAAGCATGCAGTTGGGAGTAGTGGCGCATGAAGGTTATTCTATTCCTATTCCTGTATTCTTAAGAACATAAAACAGTTACTCCTTGGGCCTTCTTGAGTCTCATGAGGCAGACATGCTGCGACATTAGGGCAAACAATTACTGGGCAGAGGGTTAAATGTCCCAAAGTAAATACAATGTGGATGCCTGGCATTATGCTGTGGATATCTTGGTTTTAGAACCACACTACACTGTTAGCTACATATGTGCAACACCCCAACTCTAAAGGCCCCTCTGCCATGATGGACATGAAGATTCTCCTTGCTTGGCTCTGTTTCTGCTCCAACCATCCTCATTTTCATTATGAGGTCCATGGGAGACATAGATGCTACTTGGCCCACAGGTATTCTATCTCCTAGAATGGGCTTGCTTAGCTGCTATTATGTAATTCCTCAGCATCTCACCATTTTGCCCACCTCCACATCTCACCTTCCTCTGCTCTCCAGCTGGAGCATCCTTGTGTCACAAGGCCATCTGTCAGAGCTCTGCTATTTCTCCCTGCATTGCCTTTACTCCTGTTTGAAAATCATTTCCCTGCAGGGTGCAGTGGCTGACGCCTACATCCCAGCACTTTGGGAGGCCGAGGCGGGTCGATCACGAGGTCAGGCGATCCAGACCATCCTGGCTAACAAGAAACCATGTCTCTACTAAAAATACCAAAAAAAATAAAAAAGAAAAAAAAAAAGAAAAGAAAGAAAAATCATTTCCCTATCACAGATTTCCAGCAGCTCCCTAGCCTGGCCTTATCTCCACCCATTTGCCCATTGACATTAGACCAAGCACTTGTTTTTTGTGCCCAAGGGGAGAGGAAGTGTAAGACCGCACTGCAACTGGGAAAAGTCCACAGACTCTTATGTTATCCTTGGATGGGTCTCTGCGTCTTGTTGTCTTTCTCTCTTTTCTTGCTGGTCTTGCTCTTCAGCTGAACTTGAGATGTTCTCTCCCCAGTTCTCTCCACAAATCCTCCTCCAAGTATCCCCTTCACTGAGAAGCCTTCCTTTCCTGCAGCCCACTCTCCCCCCACTCCTTCTTCTCCTCCTGCAGGACTTCACTGGGAAGTAGCGATTTGATATTCCATTTTCCTCCATGAAACTGTAAACACTGGAGGATAGCGGTCATGTTGTATTGTATTTTTTTTCTATTTTCTATTTCTACAGTACTTAAATCCATGATGATAAGTGTATTTGTTTACAACAGATATAGAATGAGCCTCTGTAAGACAGTAGGCACTACAAGACATACATTAATTCAACAACTATGTTTTATGATTCTATCATGCGTCAGGCAGTGTGCTCAAACACCGCGGTGACCCTGGCCTCTAGTTTCCAGTCCAGGAAGGGAGACATCACACAAATACATAACTTGCAAACTGTGATGAAATTGCCATGGAGAATTACAGAATACCATAATGAGTTTATAACTGGGTGATTGTACCTAGTTTGAAGGAAAATGGTTTTGCATTGGCACAGTGAATTCAGTAAACGAGTGAGTCAAGGAATAAATCCTTATGCAAGAAATAATCCTTGTGCAAGAAAATGCCCAACGGACTTAATATACTTTACTTACTAAATAAATCCATATGAAACACAAAGAGAGGAACTACTAATCATAATCAATGAAAACCATAAATAATTTGATTGGAAGTAACTTGAGAGATCATCCAAAGTAGTGCCCTTAAAATGTCAGAGAGTCCCCTGAACTTTGATAAACTAATGTTGCAGACAATTGCAATGAGACCCCCTAAAGTCCATGGATGCCTCGTTAAGGACTGCTGCTCTAAAAGCACTGTTTCCTACAATCCTTGTAGATATATGGCATAATGTACAGTCAGGGTATGTTAGAATTTTCCAATCAGAGCTATAGCATACACAGAATAGCAGGTCCTCTGAAAATCTTTGATTGTTCAGTAAATTCCAAAGAAAAGATCCTTGAAAAACAAAATCCACAATACTTCAAACCTAAATTCAGAATATATTCTCCTAAGCCTTGCTTTTTAGGACATATAATAAAGGAGAAGTAATCTATAAAAAGACACATCCACAATATTCAGAACCCTTGCAAATCAAATCGGTATCCTAAATAGGGACAACATCAAAACAAAATGTTACCTTAGTTTTCTTCTGAATACAGTGAGCTAGTTTATGTCTCTCATAAACAAGGGAATAAAATGAAGTGCTGTTTCTGACAAGTGCACATCCTTCCAGATCAATTCTAGAAGCAGGAAAAAAATAGCAAGGAATGCTATTGAACAGGTGTAGAACAGCAAAATGAGGAAAAGAAGAAATCATTGTTTTTGTTTTTGTTTTGCACAATATAACAATATCAGTTTCTTTTCCATCTATAAAGAGAAAGTACATGTATGATTTTTCAAATTTCAGAAAAGTTTCAGCGTTTAGAGAAGCCATTTTGTAGACCTGTTTTAAAAACATACGACTATGTTCTATAGAGCAAAATGTCCGCACTCAGATAAGTGAGTCTGAACCCTTTCCTAACTAAGCAACTTTAGATTTACACGTTTAACCTCCATAGCCTGTTTTATGTTCCATAAAATGGGAGAGATAATAATAGCAACAAGAGTAAGAATAATCTCATAGGACTGCGTAAACATTAAGTAAGGCAATCCATGTAAAACATTTGGAACAATACTTGGCCTGAAAACAATGCAAGAAAGAGAGTAGAAAGGAAAAAAAAGAACAAGAAAAAAAAATCTTCAAATTAAAAAGGGTTGAGTGAAAACAGAACTTGAAAATACAATTTATGAGAAACAAAAGCCCTGCAGAGTTGGGGGGATTTTACAGATGTCAAAAAGGAAGAGGCAAAATATGAAAAAGAAATCAGAGAAACTCCTCACCCGTACTGGCTTGACTGAGCCTGTTTATCTGTTCTGGGGACTCCTTTCAGAATTCAGCCCCCAGATGGCAATGGAAACCATGATGATCGGATGATACTCTTCTGGCTCTATTTCTGCTTTACAAACTTTGCTTTAAAATTTACAAATGCCTTTCGTGTCCATTTTCCAAAAAATTTAATAACTTAACTTAATGTTTATTGACACTGACCTGTAAGATACGTTTCCTGGGGTTGCTATGAATCTGACATAACATCTGCAAAACATGGTAAAAAGCATAAAATGCTATCCAAATACCTCACCATCATGTGAAAATATATGTGAGGAAAATTATGCACAGAAAGATAAGCAATCAGCATGAGGCAAGTTATCTTGAAAAAGTATGACACAATTAATTTGCTAAGAGAAGGACCACCAACAAGTTATGATCAGCTCCAAAAATGTTGTTTTAACAACTTTGCACCAAACAGAGCAGGCCCCTCACTGGCATAGTGTGCACAAACATACTTTCTCTTTCCTCAGAGAATCAGAGTTTAGAGTCACTTTCTGTTCCCATCGGTTCTACAGAACAACATTCTTTAGTCGGTTGCTGCCACAATCTGACTGGCTTCCAAGCTGAGCTACTCCAAATGCAGCCTGCACCACCTTGCCAGGGGCTTCAGACAATCTTCAGGCCTGTTAAGACACAGCGGATCCCTTGTAAGTCATTTGGCTCCTAGCACTTCCTGTGCATGCCAATTAGTCTGCGGCTTGCTCTTTCTCTGCAGCCATTAGAACCCCATTTCCATTCCAGGAACCACGTGACTGAGGAACCAAATGATGCTGATGCCCAATGTTTGTCATCAACCTGGTCCTCAAATGTCCTTGGCAAAACCTACCTGAACCCTTAGGAGGCCATTTTCAGAGCAGGAAATATGAAAATATTTTACAAGGAAGAAATATGAAAATATTTTACAAGGTAAGAAGGGAAAGTATTCACATAGCCACTAGTTTTACATAATCATTTGGAGGGAGGAAATAAAGGAGCGTTCGAGGTAAGCAGATTTCTGTTTTTGCTGTTCAAAATGTTGTTTTTCTATTCCCATAAACCTATTGAAATGGTCTGCATTGTCCTGCAAGTTCTAATGCCAAAAAATTAAATGCACTGGACTAAGATGTTGGAGATTGTTTTTTAACTCAAGCTATAAACTGCACATGACAATATATTTATAACACAGCTATAATGAGGGAGACTAATGGAGTAGTTGGAGCATACAAGAGAAATATGCAGAGATTTGGGGTCCGGAGGCAGGGCATGAAAACAACATGTTGACTTTCTGCATGCGCTTAGCAAAATGCTCCTGAAGCCAGTTTACAAAGCGGCCATGTATCTGCCGGCTTCTCTCAGATACTCTTTTCATGAGTCTCCTCTACTCTCAAATATATTACAACCATCCCTGAAAAACAAACAAACAAATGAACAAACACTGCATGGAGGAGAATCCTAAAAGTAAATGTCATTCAACGATCATTCATTTTACAACCAGAAAACACTAAGAATATCATGTGTTTGAAAGCTACTTTTTATGTAAAAATGTCCAAACAGGTTAACCCCCCGCAGACAAATTTTAGTTCATAATATGTGCTCAGTCACAATAGCAATGATTTTCTTCCCCATCTTATTTCCTTCTGTTTACTAATAGGCCCTGTCTGAGTGCCCCTACCTTATAGGAATAAGAACAGAGAGCTCAAGTCGGGAGACATTCCTGGTTCAAATGCCTGGTGGAAAAGAGGGCCCCCAGACCAAATCACTTAATATAAAGCCCTGGTACCCAGGCCACACACAAAGACTTACCAGGTGTATTGTTTCCTTAAAATGACTTGTCTGAGGTCAACAGTTGAAGTACCACACTGTTTCTCTTTCCCAGTAGCTATTTCTACCACTTATAAAAGGAAGGCAAATCTTTCCTTCTCCCAGGATATCACAAAGGTCTACTGTCCCGCAGGGTAAAAAACCTCCTGACGTACCAAACAGATGTATGTATAATCCAAAAATTGGTGTTGTGGTTACAAAGAAAAATGGCTGGAAAGAGTAAGGGAAAAACTTTGATTAGTGAGGTGGTCTCTAAATCTTTGCTTTCAATAAAATTGAACAAGGTCATTTAGTGAAGAATCATTAAAAATAAAACTTGAAAAGATGGTAAGCAATTTTTTTGGCACATGCCTCAAGTTGAATGATTTTGTTATACATTAAGGGAAGAAAAGCTTATTTCATTTCCATCTGCTAATTTATGTAAAAACATTTTTCTGTGCAGTGTTAACGATAGAAAATAGAGCTTGCACTGATGCTGAGCTCATTCTGGCAACAACTGATGTTCATCAGACATTTCCAATAAAATTTTACCTTCTCTGTATGATAAGTATCAACATGAAAATAACAGCAACATATATTGAGGCTTATTATGGGTCCTAACTGTTTTCCATATTTTAACTTGTTGAACTCTGTTAACATCCCTATGAACTAGATATTATTTTTACCTCATTTTGCATTTGAGGCAATAGCTGCCCAGGGCGCTTAAGAAAATTGCCCAAAGTTACACAGTCAGGCAGAGCTGAGTTTTGAGTTTAGGCAGTCTGATTTCAGAATCTGTGTTCTTAACCATAACCCTGTGTTGTCTCAATGCATGTATAATAAATATATTTAGTTTGCATTCAGAACCAAATCCAGAAACTTTTTTGTATTTCAAGTCTTATGATCAAAGTTAATTTGAAATTTGAAAATGCATATAAAATTTTTATTGCAGAAAAATGATAGTGAAAGCTATTCAATAAAAAAAAGTATTATGTTAGAGTAAAGAGTATAATGGAAGCGAAATGAAAATATATGTTCAAGGAGAAAAAAGAGAAGACATAAAATTTTAATTGTAAAGTTAACAGTCTTACATGTTTCTCTTTTTAAAAGGATTTTATTGTGAATACCTATAAACCCATCACACAGACACTTTATTAATATTTTATTATACCTGATTATCACAAATACATACATCTATCCATGCATACATCCTTCCAATTTATTTTTTAGAGATGGGAGTCTCGCTCTGTGGTCCAGGCTGGAGTGCAGTGGCACAATCATAGCCCTCTGGAGCCTTGAACTCCTGGACTCAAGCCATCTTCCTACCTCAGACTTCAGAGTAGCTGGGATTAGAGGTGGAGCTACTGCACCTGGCTTCCCAATTTATTTTTAAAGCTTTGCTAGGTTACAATTTACATACCACAAATTTTTCCCAGTTTAATATTTGAATGCAAAATTTCAGGGTTTTTAGTAAATTTGTCAGAATTTCACAACCACCTTCACAACAGATAAAAACTGTACGTATTCATCACATACAACAATTTTTTTGAACTATGTGTACATTATGGAATGGCTATATCAAGCTAATTAACATATATGCATTAACTCACACACTTTTTTGGTGGTGAGAACACTTAAAGCCTACTCTCTTAGCAATTTTCAAGAATACAGTACATTGCTCTTAAATATAGTCACCATGTTTTACAACAGATCTCTTGAACTTACTCTTCTTATCTAACTAGAATTTTGTATCCTTTGACTAATTTCTCTCAAGCCTTCCCTTTTTGCTCCAGCCCCACCCTATTCCCTGGTAACCACTGTTCCACTCTCTATTTCTATGAATTCAACTTCTTTATATTCCAAATACAAGTGAGATTATGGAGTGTTTGTCTTTCTGTGTCCGGATTATTTTACTTATTATTATATCCTCTAGGTTTATCCATGTAGTTGCAAATCATTTATTTTCTTAACATAGATCTATTAAGGTTTTCTGTTTCTTCTTGTGCCAGTTTCAGCAATTTGTGCTTTTTAACAAAGTTTCCATTTCACCAAAATTATCTAATTTTTTGGCATAAAGTTGTACTTAATGGTTCCTTATAATCCTTTTAATTTCTTTAGGTTTTGCAATGACATCTCCATTTTCATTCCTGATTTTGGTAATCTGTGTATCTTTTTCTTCTTGATCAGTCTAACTAAAGGTTTATTAAATTGTTTGTCTTCATAAATAAACAATTTTCGTTTTCACTGACTTCCTCTACTTTTCTGTTTTATTTCTACTGTAATCTCTATTACTTCCTTCCTACTACTTATTGAGCATTTAATATGCTCTTTTTTCCATAGTTTCTTAAGGTATTTACTTAGATTATTGATTTTTAGATGTTACTTCCTTTCCAATATAATTATTCAAATCTATAAATTTCTCACTACTTCCTTAGCTGCACCCCATAATTTTTGATATGTTGTATTTTTTATTTTAACTTAGCTCAAGATATTGCATAACTTTCCTTTATTTCTTCTTTTACCCATGGGTTATTTAGAAATGTTTCTGTTTAATTTCAAAATATTTGGAAATTTCCCAGGTTTCTTTTTGTTGCTTATTAGTTTAATTCCATTGCAGTCAAAGAACATACTTTTTACAAGCCAATCCTAAAAAAAACTATTGAGACTAATTTTATGACCTAATATATGGTTTATCTTGGATAATGTTTTGTGTATGCTTGAAACAGAAGTACATACTGTTATTATTGGGTGTAGTGTTCTATACGTGGCAGTTTTGTCTGGTTAATAGGGTAGTTTATTAAAATAGGGCAGGTAGTCTATTCTGGCTGATCTTGTGTAGAGTTGTTTTATCAATTACTCCGAGATGAGTATTGAAATATCCAATTGTAACCTTTGAACTGTCATTTTTCTCTCTTCAAGCAGGTCAGATTTTGCCTTGTATATTTTAGGGCTCTTTAAATGGTGCATGTACATTTATAATTGTCATATATTTTACATATACTTACCCTTTAATCAATAGGAAATGTCATTCTTAGTCTCTATCAATCACTTTTTCTTAAAGTTTACTCTGTCTGATACTAATATAGCCACTCAAACTCTTTCTTAGTCACTGTTTCAACGGCATATCTTCTTCCATCCTTTTATTTTCAACCTATTTGCATCTTTGAATCAAAATGTGGGATTTATAGACAACATGTATTTAAAGTTCATCACTTATAGACAGCATATACTTGAACCATGTTTTATTTAATTTACTCTGATAGTCTCTGCCTTTGGATTAGAGTGCTTCATCCATTCATATGTAATGTCAATGATATAATTAGATATATGTCTGCCATTTTGCTATTTTTTAATATTTGAGCTCTTTTGGTTCCTCTGTTTCTTGTTTCCTGCCTTTTACAGAATTAAAGATATTTTTAGTTAATTTTGTTAATTTTTGGACAATCTTGTAGCAATATTTTTCAAGTTATTTTCTTAGTGGGTGCTCTCAGTACTAAAATATGCATTTTAAACTTATCACAAGCGACTTCAGGCTAATACTGACTTAATTCCAGTAAAATATTACAACATCTTTTTCAGTATAGCTCCAGTTTTTTCTCCACTCCTTTGTGTCTTTGGCCTATTGTATTGGTTAGGGTTCTCCAGAGAAACAGAACGAATAGTTGATAGATTTTGGCATATCTATGACATGTTGCTCAAAAAGAAAGAAACCACCCTTCTGTGGTGCCTATGTGTATACCCCATGATGCCTAAACCAAAAGACTAAGAAAATAAATATACTATTTAAGGGATAAAAAATGCAAAAATTCAAGATGAATGAAAACTCAATGGGAAACTACCTTATTCCAAAAAGAAAAAATTTCACTGTAAAAAAGATGCACTGCATTGCACAAACATTGTGATGTCATAATGATCCTTTAACTGCATGCTAAACAATATGTCCAAAATTGCAGAGTTCTTAAGAAGGCAGCAGGACAAGGGTGATTCTGAAATATCTTATAAATGGCCAGAGCACATTTATTGGGATTTATTTCCAGGCAAGCAATCAGCTTGCTGAATCACTAAAATGAGATTAATGCTTAAGACGTGCATGCTAGTTCAAGCCATTGACTTCTGTCATTTAAAGCAGTACAAGTCTCAGTCAACTCTGTAGTTGACTGACTTAAAGATATCATCTCCTGAAATTGATCTATAAATTCAATATTATTTTTAATAAAAGTAGTATAAACTTGGAACAGTAAACAACCAGGAATAGCTAAGAACCCATAGAAAAAATAAACTAGATGAGAGTAGCTATTGTACCAAATATCAGTAATTATTACAAGGCTATAATATTTAAAACCATGTGTCCTTGGCAAAGGGAAAGTAAAAACAGACTGAGACATATGGAAACTTCATTAAGAAAAGAATGGACTTTTTTTTTTTTTTTTTGCCAAATTGTATTCTGATCATTAGCTTTTCCTACAGTAAAAGAAGTGTACTCCCACGTTACACAAAACACACACTAAAAACTGATTACATGTTCTCTAAAGAGTTAAATATTAAAAGCAAAACTAAAAACTTTTAAAAGTAGAATATAGTAGGATACCTTTATGACACTGGAATGGAGAGAATTTCTTAAATAAGCACAAACCAAAGAGGAAATTGTTAAAATTATCAACTGTATTAGTCTGCTTAGGCTGCCATAGCAAAGTACCAGTGGGTACAGACTGGGTGGCTTAAATAGCAGAAATGTGTCTCACAATTCTGGAGGCTGGAAGTCTGAGATCAAGGTGTTGACGAGGTTAGTTTCTTCTGAAGCCTCTCTCCTTGCCTTGTCCATGGTCATCTTCTCCCTGTGTCCTCACATCATCTTCCCTATATTCCTGCCTCCAAATTTCATCTTCTTATAAAAACAGTCGTATTTGATTAAGGTCCATTCTTAAGACCTCATTTTAACTCAATTACCTCTTTAAAGATCCGATCTCCAAATACAGTCACATTCTGAGGTGCTGGAGGCTAGGCCTTCAACATATGCATTTTAAGGGAACAAAATTCAACTCATAACAACAACCCAATAGAAAAGTGGGCAAAAGATTTCAAACGGACATTGCAAAAAAAAAAAAAGACCCAAATGGTCACTAGTACATAAAATATGCTGAATCTCATTAGTATTTGTAGCAAAACAAGCAGTAACACATCTTTTCACACCAGACTGGTCAGAATTTTAAAGTCTGACAGTAATACTGAATACTGGCAAAGATATGGATCAGCTGGGCTGTATATGCTCAGCTGATGG